AGCCTGGAAATAGTACATGAATGGACAGGTTTTTCAGTATCACTCTGACACAGGTTGTTTCTAATTTTGGAGATATTATGCAAATGGTAGAAAACAGTTCTACTGTACATATGTTTAATTTGTGCTCTGTAGGACATATCTTGGTCAAAACGATTCCTCACAGTGTTACTGGAGGCCAAGTTAGTGCCATCCAGAATGAAGCATCTGGTTAAATACAGTATTTGTAGGATTTAGTATGTTCTGATATTCATAAGATCAGAACAATATCCATCCGTACCTGTGACAGGCATTTGGTCCTTTCAGACACTGAGGCATGTGTCTGATTTCCGTTATATATCAATAGCAATTTGTTCTTTCAACCAAGCACAGTCAGTGTTTAATTAGTTTCAGTCTTTGCATTCACATTCACAGTCACCAGTGTCATGTAATTATTTGGTTCAGAGTGGAGTCCTGAGGTTGTGGAAACCTCAAACCAAAAGCCAGCAGCAACATAGTAGCTTAACCTGGTCCGGTCACAAAACCAGCATCTCTTTTCAAAGTTGAAGCTGTCAGAAATGTTTGTGCCATAATGAAGCACGAGAACTTTCACTTCCTACTGCCTATAGCATTACAAAAACCCCTTTTGTGTAGATTTTAAACTTTAATCTTTTTGTTAACCCTGTGTTGAACCATGTCTTTGTTAAACATGCATAGCATTAAGAAAAATATTTCTATCTACAAATATGAATTAAAATAATTTATATACTTTTTTAATATATACAAAGTTCTCTCCAGTAGTTTTCCAACAGAGTGAAACTGATCTTTTTGCATTTAAGTCTGAGATCAACACACACAGCAGAGTGACTTGATGCTATTTATAAACAAAGTGCATTTATATAGGTGTGTGTGTGTGTACATATATATGGAAACATTGACAGTTTATATATATTTCTAAAGATATGTTAACATCACAGTAAAACTGCAGTGAAATGAAACTATAAAACATTAATACCACTCTAGTGTTGGCATTTGTTTTTGGAGAAACCTTTGTTTAAATATAAATCATACCGTACCTGGTGTACAGTACTAGTGCTTCTGTTTTATTAAAGATAAGTTATATAAACATGTTTTATACGAACTATGACTGAATCTGTTAATCCTGCCTGCTTCATTACAGTTGTATGTTTAACGTCACTGTATCTTAATTTTGCTTTTTCAATGTATTTTCTTATTAAAACTGTAACATTTATATTTAAAGAGACTTCTGTTTTCTTTTTTGCAGCAAAACCTATGTGTGGTCTGTTATCTCGTGATTTTAACAAGTGGAGAGAAAAAAATGAGATGGTAAGATAGGGTATTTTGTTAGGTGAAGAATCTTGTGATAGGAAGTGAGTCATAGAGATCTTTGCGTCTATGATGGGAAGAATCGCTGTACTGCTTTGAGGGCAGGGATTTTTTTTCTCTCTTCAAAAATTACCACCAGCTGTAGCACAAAGGTTTCACTGTTTTCATATCTTTCTACACAGACCATTACTGGACATGCTGGGAGCAGTTTTACAAAAAAAAAAAAA